TTCTTAAATTGTAACACTTTATATTAAGGTAACACTTATATTCAAATGTAACGTCTTATTTGAGTGTAACACTTTTCCCTTCAAATGTAACACTTTTATGTTGTGGGTATTTAGTGTTACATTAGGAACTCCAAAGTGTTACAATAGGTCAAATGCAACGCAAGCAAATGTAATAGGCTAAAAGTGTTACATTTTCCCCAAATGTAACACTTATGGATACTATTGTAATACTTTTAGGTGTTACATTAGAGCTTGAAATGTAGTAGTGCACATACTTGGTAGAATTCGATTTGAATATTCCAACTTGTATGGTAGAAAATGAACCGGATTTTCTAACATGTTTGGTAGAAACTGAGCCACGGACTTATACGGAAGCCGTAACGTCTACCGAAGGACCAATGTGGAAAGAAGCCATCAAAAGTGAGGTGGACTCTATCCTAAAAAATCACACATGGGAATTGGTTGATCTCCCTCCGGGAAGTAAACCTTTGGGATCCAAGTGGATTTTTAAACGTAAAATGAAACCTGACGGTTCCATTGATAAGTATAAGGCCAGACTTGTAATCAAAGGATACAAGCAACGTGAAGGCCATGATTACTTTGATACGTATTCTCCGGTAACGAGAATAAATTCCATTAGGATGATACTAGCAATTGCCGCTTTGCGGAATTTGGAAGTTCATCAAATGGACGTAAAAACCGCTTTTCTAAATGGCGATATAGACGAAGAAATCTATATGGAACAACCCGAGGGTTTTCGTGTTCCTGGACAAGAAAAGAAGGTTTGTAAATTAATTAAATCATTGTACGGATTGAAACAAGCCCCTAAACAGTGGCACGAAAAGTTCGACCATGCAATGTTAATTAATGATTTCAAAATAAACGAAAGTGACAAATGCGTCTATGTGAAGAGCACGGTAGACGACTATGTCATTTTATGTTTATACGTGGATGATATACTCACCGTGGGTAGCAATAATCTAATGATTAATTCTACCAAAAACATGTTAAATTCTAAATTTGACATGAAGGATATGGGGCTGGCCGATTTAATCCCTTGGATTAAAATAATTAGAGGACCTGACGGTCTTACGCTAAGCCAATCCCATTACGTTGATAAAATCCTTACTAAATTTAATAAGGATGATTATCAAGAGGCAAGGACGCCGTTAGATAAAAACGTACACCTAACCAAAAATCGTGGAGAGTGTATTTCTCAAATAGAATACGCTAGGATTATTGGCAGTTTAATGTATCTAATGAGTTGTACCATGCCTGATATTGCCTTTGTGGTTAGTAAGCTAAGTAGATATACTAGCAACCCCGGTGATGAACACTGGAAGGCAATAGTAAGAGTTTTGAGGTATTTACGAAAAACCCAAAACCTTGGACTGCACTATGGAAGATATCCAGCTGTACTTGAAGGGTATAGCGACGCTAATTGGATATCTGACATTAAGGACTCAAAGTCCACGAGTGGATATATTTTCACTTTGGCGGGTGCAGCCGTTTCATGGAAGTCCTCGAAACAAACGTTAATAGCTAGATCCACGATGGAATCTGAGCTAATAGCCTTGGATAAGTGCACTGAAGAGGCTGAATGGCTACGCCATTTTCTCGAGAATATTCCAAGCTGGGAGAAGCCTGTCCCTCCAATATGCATACATTGCGATTGTCAAGCGGCAATTGGAAGGGCACAGAGCAATCTCTATAATGGTAAGTCTAGACACGTCCGTCGTAGACATAACACCATTAAACAACTTCTCACAACGGGTGTTATCACTATTGACTACGTGAAGTCAAAGGATAACATAGCGGATCCGCTAACCAAGGCATTGGATAGAGAATTGTTGGAGAAGTTGACACGAGGAATGGGATTAAAGCCCGTGAATTGAAAAGTTCTATAGTGGATACCCAACCTAGTTGGTCCTAGGTTCAAATGGGACAACTAAATTATAGAGCGAAGGATGGTCACTGTGGGGGTCCCGGACTCCTACCCACTCCTCGTTGAAACAGTGACTCCCGCACGAGGTTAGCAAAAACGTTTGCTTTAATGATTCTAAAATGTTGATCTACTCGATTACATTGGAAGAGTATGCGGGATACTCGTGAAAGAATCACCTATGTGAGAGAGAAGAGGGCCGCTTCAAAGGAGAACTGTAAAGACTCAGTTCTTTAGAAACTCTTGCAGAACCAGGACGGTGACCCATGGCCAAAACGGGCACACCCATGAGAACGGAACAAAGTTGGAAGGTTCCTGGGTAAAGATAAGTCAATGTTTACACGACGGCAGTATAGTTCAAGGACATCGAGTCCACTATACAACCAGTAAATAAACATGTCTTTACAGCGGAAGGTTCAAAGGATTAAACCTACCTCTCCGTATGCAGGGATCATCCGGTGAACACAACGTGTCCTCCTATCTTCGTGTCTTTTTTAAGTCTCGAAAATCAATTTTCATTCATGTGGGGGATTGTTGGAAAAAGTGTGTTAAATTGCATTAAATGGTCTTTTTGGGGCAATTTTTTGAGCGGGGTCCACTTCCGATTTGGGTCGGGTCAAAGTGGTTTCGGATTGTCCTTGCTTAGGGCTACAATTCGATATATGGTACGCTCAAAATGGATAACGGGTGAATGAGAAATCGCTTTTCGAAGTTTACCCGTTGGAATGGAGAAAACTAGGAAAATGTGGGTTTTTGTGTGGGTTTTTCCCACACCGAAAATCACAAGGGAATTTGAACCCTTTATAAAGGGACCCCCCCCCTAAGGAGTTAAGCTTCCTAAAGGGAAAGGCTCTCTCACGCGTGCAGGGGGGGTGCGAATCAAATCCCGAAACCGAAGAACAAAAAGCGCGACTTGCGTGCGCGGGCGACCTGCGGACACGAATGCCGTCCGAAAATCCTATCTTCTAAAGATAACGTTAATTTTTGTTCTTCCGTTACGCTCCAATTTTTTTTCTCCAGCTCGCCCAACGTCCATATGCCATAATGTCCAACGTTCATGGACTTAATGCACACGTTTTGGACTGTTTTTGGCTGGAATCAATGTCCCAAACGTTGGACATTGATGTCCAACGCTCCTATGCCTTAAACAGGACATTAACACATGCAAATCCACCCCTATAAAAGGCTGGTAGCTGCTTTGCATAAAGACACAACACACATACGTACTGCACTCTCTTTTAGCTCAAAAACACTCCAGTCTTCTTTGAAAAATTCCTTCGGTTTTCACGGCATTGTTCTTGTTCGTTGGAACCATAGTTTGAGTGCTAAACTATCGTACGAAGTCATCGTATCCTGGGAAATGATCGTTGCAACGCTCCTAGCACCCCGGGAGGCAACGAATACGTTTTAAGGAAATCGTGCGTTGCACGAGCTTTGACTTGTTCTGCTTCATCTCATTTCTTGTTTTCGTTTTGTCATTTTATTTAATTAATTTTTATTAATTAATTAATTTTCTTTGTTTTTCGAAACACACCCAACAGAAGGCCCGACGGAAGTTCGTTTTTATAGACGGCACAATATCAAAATCAACTGAGGCGGCTAAATTGGTGGACTGGGAGACGGGTAATTCCATGATCGTGTCATGGATATTGAGAGCCATGGAGCCGACGATCGTAAATTCAATACCTTTTCACGATGAGGCCAAAACATTGTGGAAATACCTTGAAAACCGATTTAGTGAAGCTAACAGACCTAGATTGCAGCAGCTTCGGGCCTCGATTGCTGCGTGCAATTACTGCGTGCAAACAGACCAAATCCATGTCAGTGGACGCGTTTTACACTGAGCTTATGGCGTTTTACACTGCACATGCGGTCTTTGTACTTGCCAACCCGCCCCGACCCGTCTCGACCCGCGGCAGGTTATGAGTTTCATGGGTCGGGACGGGCCAACCCGTTTACTGTCGGGCCAGAGTTTTTGTGACCCTAACCTAGCCCACCTAATCCACAGGTTTCATGGGCCACCCGCGGGCCACCAATGTCAAAACAAAAAACAAAATAAAAATAAATATCTAAATTAAAATCCAAACACAACTAAAGTAATGCTCCCCCTTGTTTACCAAAAAAAAGTAATGCTCCCCCGTTCCGAAAAGGTTTGTCAAAATTGACTTTTCTTGATAAATGACAATCAACTTTGATCAATGATATTTTTTTATATGAAATTATTTTGAATATGAAAAATATACGAAAAATGTTCCTTATTTAAAATATTTTCATAAAAGTGTAAAATTTATAAATTATAAACAAATATAATAACCAAAATCATTGTCCAAAGTTGTCATCTTTGACTAAGAAAAATCGATATGGTGAACCTTTATGGGACGGAGGTAGTAAGATATATGGCTGTCATTGACTTTATCACTTTGTAAGTCCAAAAAACTGTCCACAAGTTAAAAAAGCAAACATCATTACAAATGTTTTAAAAATGGAAGATTGTAGAAGAGAACTAATATAATTGGGTCTACCAATTGTTTGTTGGTCTCTATACAACTTCTCCCAGACTCCCAAAAAGACTCTTAATTATTTGATGTCTCTTCATCTCCTTGGTGACCTTTCATTTGTTCGGCACTTTGACCGCGGTCTGTCTGGATTTTACCCCCCTCCGTGCTATATAGTTTGTATAGATACATAGATATATAGTCTGTCTGGAGTATTTGTCTTCAGCCCGCGAGTTGGCCCGCAACCGATACGGGGTTGACCCGCAACCCGTTAGGGTTGACCTCCCAAGCCCGCGAAATAATTGGGCCTGAAAAATGATAACCCTAACCCACTTATAAGTGGGTTGAAACGGGCCAACCCGCGGGTTTCGGCCCGTTTTGACGGCTCTAAGAAGAAGGGTAATTTTGGAAGAAAAGTCCTATTTGGGGAATAAATGTACACTACTCCTATTTTGGAATTTCAACAATATTTTAGTCCTAATTAAGGCAAAATTCTCTTCATGTTTATATTTTTTTTATATATTAGAGGATTTAAAGGAAGACATGTGTATGAGTACAAGTGGTACAACTGTACGAGTGCATAGTTGCACACGGGATCGTCTAGAGAGGCCCATAGTTCAAAAAAATCGTCAAAAACATCATTTGTTATACAGCGGGCTGGGCTTCTCTTCCGCGGTCAGCCTCTTCCTCTTCACAACTGCTTCTCCATCGACCGAGACGACCCACAGCCAAACGCCCAGACAGGGACGAGCTAACGAGCAACGACTGCACCGGAGTCCAACCCACCGCCTATCGGTGCTAGCTCGTCCCATCTGCGCCGCACTGCTTCCCTGCGCTCTTATCCCACTAACGCAACAAACATATCCATGAACTCTAGCTCTACTTACCGCCGTGAAGAAGAAGAAGAGGAGAATGAATTCGGCGAAGAGGTGTTCCTCGAAGAAAGCGATATCATACAGGAAATCCCAGTGGATGAAGAAGGTACTTTTTCATCTGTATACGGTCTATTTCCGTTGTTCTTTTTTCCCAGACAATACGTAAATGATGGACACCGTAGTAAGGGAGATTATTTATGCTATAATAGAGCTTCCAGATGCTGATGAAGATGGAGATGATGATTACGGCATTGAGGGAGCAGCAGGTGCTGTGTTTGTAAAGAACTGAAGTTAACCTTACTTGATTTTATTTTTATCCAGTTGTTCTGATTTTACATAAATATATATTTGAGTCACTTTAGGTTGATATTTTTTTCATATTCGATATCACTAAATTTATTCTAATATCTGTCTGGCATTATAATTTCAGATGAAGACGATTCCGTGCATATTTTCACAGGCCATACCGGTAGGTGAAATCAAGTCCATAATACAGTGTGTAACCTTAATTTATGAAATTGCCCATGACTTTATTCATTACGCATAAACTGGTCGGCTCTATGATATTCCCTGCAGCAGACCTGAAACCGAATGTGCAAACTGAAATTATCTTTGTTCTTCACATATGTTTTTTTTTTATTAATAACTCGTCGTTGTAGTTGAACTAAATATTCATTGGCTCATAAGGCTATTATCCATCTAAACTCAAATGTACCTAACCTACATGCAAACATGCTCTAAGAGATGGTTTTCCAAGTGGCAGCAAATTAGTTTGCAAGGTTTTTATAATGGCTGAAATGTAAATTCTTCCACATGGCAGGAAGCGTTATAGAATATTGCGATCAAGAAAGCTTAGCAAAAGTTAAATGAAGAAAAAGTCTCAGTTTATGCAAAAATAAGATCTTTTAGTAATTTTTGCTGTTGTGAGATAAAATAAAAAGACAGATTTATGGTATTTTTGTGATTTTATCATTACTTTTAGGTAGAGGATATCATGTCGAAGTAGTATAAGTATAACGTAGCAATGTTGCATGACAAAGTTCCATGAGGCACGCCCTGGCTAAATACAACAAAAATGCCTCATGCCGCCTAGTGCCTCAGCTAAATATAACAAAAACGCCTCAGGCTGCCTTGCATCTTTTAAAAACAATTTCTATGTCAATATTTTTAGGTGAACTTTACACTGCCTGCTGCAGTAGCACAGATGCTACTTTAGTTGCAACGGGGGGTGAAGATGATAGAGGATTTATGTGGAGGATTTGTCAAGGAGATTTTGCTTTTGAATTACAAGGTATGTCGTAATCTATTGAATTTGTTAATGTCCCTCTTTGCCCCTAAAGTGTCTTGTAGTTCACGCACACACTATATTCCCGCCATTAGAATGGGTGGGGGTAAGGGAATAAGTATTTGATTTGTCATCATGGCTTGACTATGGGTTACTCTTGGATCATGGGAATGGCCATTAGAAGCCCTTAGTAGTCCCTTGATCAGGAGAGTGCAAGGGAATTTGTACCTTTCCCTTTTGTTTCATGAGTTGTTTCTAAAGATTCCATTATTTCCCATTATCTTAATCATATACTCGGATTACGGATAGTGGGGAGGAGAGGGAGAGGAAGACTCAAACAGACGTTGATTAGGGAAGTCAGAAGTGATATGATTCTTTTTGGGTTGGATGAGAGTATGGTTTTGGAGAGACAAAAGTGGAGAGAATATTCATGTATAATATTGATCTATTTTTATCTTTTTTTTTATCCTTTTATCATTTTTATCTTTCTTATGTTCTTTATACTTTTATACTTTTATTATATATATATATTCTTTTTTTCCTTTTTATCTTATCATTTTTATCTTTATCTTATAATGCAGTTATCTTTATCTCATTTTTTTTTATCTTACCTTATCTTTTTATCCTTCTTATCTTTCTTTTCCTTTTGGTTCCGATATCATGTATCGATTCATTTTAGCTGACTCCAAAAGCTTTTGGGACTAAGGATGTTTTTAATTGGACTGAAATTTGCTGGTCTGGTCTGTTTAAGTTTAGTCTGGTCTGAACTGGTCTGGGGTCTCTCTGTATTCTATAACTACAGAAGTAAGTTCTGATATGGTCTGTTTAAGTCTGGTCTGGGTTGGGACCGAAAACCGTCCAAATAAAAACATCCTAAGGCTTGGATGTTGTTGTTGTATACTTAATCATGGACTTGGTCCTTGCATTTATCGCTTCCCTTCATAATTAATTTGTTCTTTTGCGTTAGTAGCTACTTAGTTATTCTTCTAAAAATCATTTTCGGTTTGACCAGCTTATGTGTTTGGTATCTAGATTTATCTTACATTTGGCTTTCCCTGTACACCATTCCTAGTGACAATATGTGAGACTCCCATATAATGACACTGAGCATATTAAATTAGTTATGAAAAGATGTACCTATGTGAAACATGAACCTTTTTTGGGATGAATTTAGTTTATCATTTAACAAGTATTTTTATGATTTCATTGCAGGTCACAGTGAGTCAGTATCCAGCTTAGCATTCAGTTATGATGGCAAGCTGCTTGCATCAGGAAGCCTCGATGGGCTTACAAAAGTTTGGGATGTAACTACGACAACCCTGAAGCGCACACTTGAAGGTCCAGATAAGGGAATTGAGGTAAAACCTTTTCCTTGTTTTTTTTTTGCATAAACAGTAAACATTATATATAAACTGAAACCAAGTACAAGATTTAAAAGAGGCATTCCTCAGTTCAACGACCAACTTTTCCTTGTTGTCATTCTCTGTTTTGGCCTTTTCTCTTGAATATTAGCGCTAAAATAAATACGAAAAGCAACATATATGACCTCTTTTGAGTTTCCAAAAGGTGTCTAATTATACCATTTATGCCCTTGATTTAATATTACATTTGTATTTTAGTAGTGTTACGTTTAGAATTTAAAAATAACAAATGCTGCACAGCCACCCTATAGCCACTACCTCCCCCCCACTGCCACCGCAGCCGCTGTTAGTGACCCCCTCCCAAAGCTGCTATGTGACCCCCTACAATGAAACCACAAAGTCTGGCAGATGCAACTTGCCGTTAGTTATCTCAACCTGCTGCCATTCGTGATTAATCCCATCTGTGACTTCGTCTAGTTCACCTACCCTTGTCTTAGTTACTCTCCTCTACCAAAAAGCCTGTCCGTTACCACCCCTTCATCAATTACAACCCCTACATTTCAAACCCACGTTAGTGATCTGTAACCGTAATGTCTGACACCACAAAACGCTAATTCCTGACTTCCTGCCTTCTCAATCCTATATACCACCTCTTCAAAATGCGATCAAAATAAAGGAATGGCCAAACCTGAGTGACGCTGCTAAGGAATGCTGCAAAATCCCAATCACTCAAAACCCTAGCACCAACTCGAAGGGATACTGCTGCTAGAGCAGCATTGCAGAGAGAAGAAGCGTGGCGATGCAAAATGAAGAACAAGAAGGGCGCTGGCAGTAACCGGATAGATGTCCACGAGCTGACAAGGGCATGGTGGCGGTGAGCGGCGGTCTCCTGACTGGGAAGGGTTGTGGGGAAGCGGTGGTGTGGCTAGAGGCAGCAAGTTGCGGAGAGAAATAGGAGAATAAGAGACTAGGGCAAGGAATGAGTATATATATGTAAGGGTTATTATGGTAAATCACACATCTTTTAGTCATATATTTGCCCAAAAACATAATTAGTCATATGTTTTGGATGGTGAAACTCCATTAGTAAATAGTAATACGATAGTATATTTTTTAGCTTTATAAACTCAAATGTTGTGGAATTGCTCAGTGGCTCAGGTGGCATCCTAGAGGACATTTGGTCTTGGCTGGGTCAGAGGATGGCATTGCTTTCTTGTGGAATGGTGACAATGGTGCTTGTCTTAATACATTCACAGGTCATGCACAAAGTGTGACCTGTGGTGATTTCACTCCTGACGGTACTCGTTTTTTTGGGATATATATACTGCAGTGTGCTACATCCGTCTCAAAAAAGATTCCAATTTCAACACTTTTTTGTCCTCAAAAGAGATTCTGATTTGATCAATCAGAGCTGATTTTTCAGGTAGTTTGCCAAAAAGAGTGACAAAGAAGTTACATATGATAAATTTATCTAAACCAACATATAAATCTATAAAAAAAAACTCATTAGTATTTAAGCCGCCATATAGTTGTATCTTAGTGATTAAAATGTTGAACTTTGGTCAAACATGACTTGTTTTTTTGGTCGGATATAGTATTGTTATTTGTCTTGGGGAAGTGGATTCAAGTGCAACTTTGATGATTAATGCCTTTTCTTGTGAAGGTAAAACAATTTGTACTGGATCAGATGATGCCAGTTTGAGGGTTTGGAACCCACGAAGTGGTGAAAGCATCCATGTTGTGAGAGGTAGATTTTCTTAAGTTTCTTCAATAGCACTCTATAGTTAGTAGAAATAAAAATATACTTTGAATAATTCAAATTATACATATAAATTTGTTGTCCACTGTGTGAAGGATCGTCTACAAGAAGTGTCACAAAAAAAATGCGCACTATTTCACCTCATAAAACAAAATACTAACATTAAGGGCATATGTTGTGATTATCCTCATACACCTGAAAAGACTAAAGATATCTAAACCTGCTAGAATGTTAAGATCATACTTATTTTAGGGAGGGATATAAACCAAGACATTGCCTTGCTAGTCTTGGGTATGATTCTAAAAAAAACTTTCAATTGCAGGGTGATGTCGGATCTTTGAAAAATGCTATTTGATAGATCACTATTAATAATTCCTATCACTATTGTATTAGATAAAGTTAATAGCACAAATTTTACATATTGGGGTGGCTTGTACTGGTTTGGGTTTGATGCTGCTATGTACTTTTTGGCAGTTTGGCCTAGCAATATAACAGTTCTCTTTTTTAAAAAAAAAAAAACTGATGGTACTAGTATTAATTTCATATGGAGATACAAAAGACCTATTTATAATTTTGACAATTGCTCTTCATTTTAACAGGCCATTCATATCACAGAGATGGACTGACATGCATGGCAATCAGTTCAGATTCAACACTAGCTCTTACTGGCTCAAAGGATGGCTCTGTTCACATTGTGAACATTACAACTGGGAGGGTTAGACCATCACATTACTTCTGCAATAACACCTGGACCTTTTGTGTTCTTGTTTTGATTAAAAGAAATTGCCCTAAATAAGAGTAAAAACGTTTGAGAATTCCAAAATAAGAGTGCTATGCTTTTATTACTTCCTAAAATATGAGTAATTACTGTCAAACTTGTAAAATACTTGCAGTTTTGGCAGTCTACTGCCACATTTAAAGCCCGATAATGTGAAAACATGGCAGTAAATTTCTGGATGACAGTAACATACTTCTATTTAGTGAAGAAAAATATAGAACTCCTGTTTTGGAATCTCCAACAATTTTTACTCTTATTTCAGGAATTTTCCCTTTGATTAACCATGTGAGGAAACCTTCTACAAAGTCAAGTTTTGCAATACCTAATCCATGTGTTTTGTCTTTTGTTCTTAGGTTGTCAGCTCTTTGAGCGGTCATTCAGATTCAATTGAATGTATTGGACTTTCTGCAAGGTGCGGCCTTGTCTTGGCACCTCTCTCTTTCTCTCTCGAATGATTTGTCTGATAGATGAAAGGAGAAGAACATTAACTAATACATAGTATATAATAAAAAGAAAGGACCGTTCTCCTTTAGTGTGCCAAAGGCTTGAATCTTGTGGCTTAAAATGGGAAATTTAACTAGACATAACAGGAAATTGTGGGGTTAATTATGCGCGGAGAAAAGCATACTATCTCTCATTTGTAAAATTAGTGGGGTTATAGGATACATGATGGGGACGAATATTTATCAATTAAAGGACGTTTTCTAGAAAAGATGGTCCCTTTGTCCAAAAACGAAGTCATGTTAGGTTAAGGTACAATTTTTAATCTTGGCAATGTGCAATCCTCAAAATTCATGGAGTCCCTCTTACGTTGTTAAAATCATTTTAACTAGTTTATCATATTGAAACATTGTTTGTGGCATGTTACTCGGAAAAACCAGCTCTTTATGAACTAAGATTTGTTTTGGACTTCTTTTTTCAAACTTGCGTTAGTTTTTTGGGTGGAAAGAAGAATGGAGAGACGTGGAGAGGAAGTTGTACATTAAATGTCATTAAATGAATCATGGTCTCATTTTAGGTATTAACAATAGTGCCTTAATAGAACTTTATGACCGGTAATGCTTTTTTTGACAGCAATCCTTGGGCGGCAACAGGAAGCATGGATCAGAAGCTCATTATTTGGGATCTACAACATTCATCGCCTAGATGCACGTGTGAACATGAGGTTTGTTTTCATTATGAAATCATTTGTACCATTAAGTTTAGTGCCCATTTGTTAAGAGTTATTTGACTCAAATGACTGACTTTTCTGAAAGAAAAACTGTGGAGGAAGGAGTCACATGCTTGATTTGGCTACCAAATGAGGCTTTGTTCTTGCCTTTCTGTGAGGTGATGTCATTAGATCTTAGATGACGTACTTCCTGTTTTTTTTTTGTGCAGGAAGGAGTCACATGCTTGATTTGGCTTGGTAAATCAAACTATGTTGCTACAGGCTGTGTTGATGGGAAAATAAGAATTTGGGATAGCCTTTCTGGTGATTGTGTGAAAACTCTAAGTGGACATTCTGATGCCATTCAATCTCTAGCTTCATCTTCAGATGGTGATTACCTTGTTTCTGCTTCAATTGACAGGACTGCCCGTGTGTTTGAGATAAAGGAGTTCAAGTAACAAAAAATGCTGAATTTTGTCATGATTGACATGTACTAATGTTTTGTTTTTTCTTTTACAAACTGTTGTAACTTATATATAGAGTTTTTATATTGCTTCCCATTTTAAACAGATTCTTGCAAGTTGCAACCACATGGGTTATTAGTCTACTTAAAATGAACAATCACTGGGTATATGGTACTCCGTATATCCTAGTTGGTAGAAGTCCAGAAAGAACTAGAACACAAGGATGCTTCTTAGTTCTTACTAGGGCTGGACTCGGGCTGGTTCGGGCCCGGTTCGGGCCTGGGTCCGGCCGGGCCTCGGGCCAGGAAAGGGAGGCCCGAGCCCGAACCGCCGGTGGCCGGTTCCGGTCCCGGTTCCGGGCCAAACCGGGCCGGGCCGGGCCGGACTGAACCGGCCCATTTAATTTTTTTTGTTCTCCTATTTAATCCCCTACCCCTCCCCCTCAACCCCAAACCATCCCAAACCACCTCAAATGGCCCAAAATACCTAATCCAACCTAAAACTTAAAAAATTTTCAAAAAAAAAAAAAAAAAATTAAAATCCGGCCCGGACTGGGCCCGAACCGGCCGGGCTGGTTCACCAAAACCTGGGCCCGAGCCCGAACCGTCCAGCAGCTGGTCCGGGCCGAACCGAACCGGTGGACCCACCGGGCCCCGGGCCGGGCCGGGCCAAACAGTAACCGGGCCGGGCCGGTTCTGGGCCGGGCCGCCCGGCCCGAGTCCAGCACTAGTTCTTACCCTAAAAATTTTCAGTAGCAATAACTATTTGATTGTAGCAGAATGATTCAAGCCTTAGTCACTTAGTTTGACATAAATCTCTAGAGAGAAACTCTTGACAAATACTATGTTTAGACAATGTTCTAAAAGGCGCTAGGCGCTAGTCGGGCGCCAGCCCAGCGCCTAGCGCCTAGTCGGCTAGGCGGGTGCCTAGGCGGGGACTAATCGGAGACATCGAAATTGTAGTTTTATCAATATTTTTGCATAAATATGATTAGTAATGTTGTGTTTGTGTGTATAAAAAATATATATACACACACATACACATTAACATGCATGAATGATAGAGTTATCACATTTAATAATATGTTATATCTACTCACTTAGTCACTTACTCACTAGTAGCTTTCTTCACATGCATTGTCAAAGTTAAAGATACATATTTCTTAGGATAGTGAAATAAAAAAGCAAAAAAAAAAATTGTTCGATGAATCTAGACACCTAGGCGGCCCATTAAGCGCTCTGGGCGGGCAACTAGGCGCCCTAGACGGCCGACGAATTCACCTAGGCGTCGATTTAATTAGTCGGAGCGCCTAGACCAAAATCGGGGCGCCCGACCACCGCCTAGCGCCTAGGCGGGGACTAGTCGGACGCCTAGAGCGATTTTTAGAACAGTGTGTTTAGATGATTAAAAATGGAGTAAAGAGTCCTCAAAGTTGCAAAAAAGGCGTCAAATAAGTTCTTATATAGAACATTCTGTCCGGAAGTGCCATTTGAGGTGGCTCTCGGTGGAATTTTGTGATAAATTTTTTTGAGCATCTTATTCATTAAGTCTAGTTTACTCATACTAAATTTCAGCTAAAAATTCAATCGGGAAGACATTCAAATGAATTCTTGAAGATAACAGCGCTTTTAACGGCACAGTTATCTTCACGAATTCATTTGAATGTCTTCCCGATTGAATTTTTATCTGAAAATTGGTATGACTAAACTAGACTTAATGAATAAGATGCTAAAAAAGTTTCATCAAAAAATTCCAGCGGGAGCCATCTGAAATGGCACGTCCGGACAGAATCTTCTATATAATGACTTATTTGACCTCTTTTTTGCAACTTCGAGGACCAAACTGACCCTTATCCCATTAAAAATGTCTACCTAGTGACGTGTCCGTCCTAAAATGAGTTGGGATGTTACCATTCAGTTGTCAATGCAATTCTTGTTTATTCTCCTATTGTTAAGAATATACTCCCCGTTCCAGAAACAGTTCATACGTTTGCCTACAAACTTTTTAGCCTTTTAGGTATGAATAAATTATCAAAATAAAAACTCTCAGGTTGCCTACACTAAATTTAACTCATAAAACTCAAAATCAACTTTAGCGTCTTTAAATCTCAGTTTCACAACTTTCTGATTGTTCTCCCCTAATAACATCAAAACAACAGTGAATGTTACTCCACATTTTGGGGAATTTACTTATGAATGTTCAATATAATTTTGAAATTTGGACTTTCCAACTCGGGACATCTACTATCACCAATGGATGATGCTTATTCTCTCTTTTTTTCTCTTGCAAGCGGAAACTTTAGATGGTAGGAGTTTTTTTTCTCTTGCAAGCGGAAACTTTAGATGGTAGGAGTTTCAGCTCAACAATTTCTTTTGTACTCTAAGCAGAAGATAGAGAACTAGTGAGGCTAAAAAGAAACACTGGGCTAAGCTGATCAATGAAGATGGAAGCAAAACTATTGGAATTCTTTTAGGCATTTTCAAACAAGGAAATTTCATATAGGCATTGACCATTGTTATATAATAGAATAACAATGCAACTATGCAAGTATGAAGAAGTGCTATATTAACTACTTGTGGAATAAAGCTAGAAAACTAAATTGGTGAAGGGCTGTCCATAAATGTGCAACATTCAAAAGGGTGGTGTTGGCAAAAAAGGGTAGCATCTGAGAAGTCTAGACTCTAGAGTCTGTCTGGGCTTTCCAAAGTCTATACCACACAAAATGGTTAAATTAAGCATAAAAGACATTCATCTGCTATCAACCTTTCCTGAGACATGAAGACATGCTGGAAAACTCATAGCTTCTCAAGGAACTCCCCTTTTATTAATTTTCATTCAAATTGATGAAAGATGATATTCTTATTATAAGAAGCTGTTTGTTTCTAGACTCACCCTAGCAAAGAACCACACCAATATGTCTAATCTAAGAAATTCATACCAAAATTATATATTTAATTAATAATTATGGGTAGAGCTATGTTTCGGATATTGTGGATAATATATCGAACGGATATGTTGAACCATCTCCTTTGGCATATACTACGTAGAGAGAGAGAGAGAGAGCTAAGAGACAGGGCAACACTAAAATAAGAGGCACATTAAATACAAAGTCCATATTAATTGTCCCAACTCCCAAGGGTTATTATGAAGTCTGTGAGCAATAAAATTCAAATAGTCATTTTACAAAATGAAAATGTGAGAGATGCATAATTTGTTAAAAAGGGTGGAATTTACAGCTAGCATTTCAACCATCAGATGGCTCAGATATTAACGTGCTATATCTTGTACATGTGAGTGTAAACATAAACGAGGTAATACGGAGTATGTTTTATAGCTTGTTTGGTTTATTTTATAGTTTGACCCACGTACTTAATTTTATAGTTTGACCCACATACTTAATTTTGACCAATTATTTTAATAAATATACTTATAAAAAAATTAATATTTTTATACTTTTATGATAATATTTTCGACAAAGAATATTTTCTTATCATTTTTCATTTTTTCTTATCATTTTTCATATTATCAATATTTATGTATATAAATACATAATCGGTCACAGTTCGACACTATTGACTTGAAAATTAAGTTTGGCTAACCAAAATGGGATGGAGGAAGTATATATAATAGTAACAGAGTTTTCTTGGACAAAAATATGACTAATTATGTATTTTGGACAAAAATATAACTATTATCGTATACAACTAATTGTGTAAGAGTCACTATAGTATGTTTCAGAGGGACAAATCACCGAAAGATGACGAGTCACTGAGAACTAGTCACAAATATAACACTTTTTTGAAACAATTTAAAATAAGTCATAGTTTTGTCTTTTGAATTTAATTTAATAATATTCATGAAAAAATGCCTATAATAATTTCTTTTTGAAAATGAATCAATCTTAAAATATCTTCATTACACTTTAATAGAATATACAGTATTGTTACACTACTGAAAATCCCATATAAAGTGTACACTACTCATACAACATTATCATAATTAATTACGTATTACCTGGAGTACCAGTTAAAATGAGACTGGGGAGAGTGTTTATTTAAGACAAATCATTACTTTGACTTTGTAAATATATCATATGCTAAATCAGGGAAAAAATAGTCAAAAAGACTTTTGGAGGGACTTTTAAGTTCAAGAAGAAAATAGTGAAAAGTTACTTATGGCATTTTTATTTAAAATATTCTTTTTATCAAATTAGGGACTTCATTTTGAGACATAGGGAATATTAAATTCAGCTGTTCTAATGTAAGATATCAAGTTATTAGTTTTTAATGATTATTTTTTTCGAGGAATTTCTTAATGATTATGATAATAACAATGACATGTTTTAGTTATTTGTCGATATATAATCCTATACCTAAAAGCACTACACCAGAGAGAGAAAATTCTCCCGCCCATCGCTAATCACTTAATCATCGCTAAATACGTAATTTCGCTCTGCCTAGGTTAACACCTAACTCACCTTCCTCCCATTCACAACCGCAGCACTTCACCTCCCCGATAAAAAAAACATATCTACGCCTCCCGCTCTTTGGCCTGTTCCCCACTTTAGACGAAAACAAACTTCTGTGGCCTGTTCTAGTGTTCTCGCCCGCACCGGTGCAGATTCTCCCGCCCATATGCATCAGCTATGCAGTAATTTCAACAACATACTCACACTAAAGAAAATCAACGGAAGTACACCTTATCAAAAAACATTTTCCTTCCTACAGACTGGACTCTCCGTTTGAAGACCAACTAGATTAAGAATTGAGTTCCAAACTAAGGTTGCCCCCTACGATCGGAATGCATATTTTCACTAACGAGGCGGAAGATGGAGTATGCTCTGAAAATCAAAGGTAATACCCTAAATTTCCTTAGCTAATTCTCCTAAATGAGAATATTGTGTTTATAGAGGATTTTAAGCAATAGCCCTGAATTTCTTTGGCTATTTTTCCTAAATGAATTCATTTTTTGATTCCACATTACTTCCAAGTTTCAACTTTGAATACGTTAAGGACTTGTGTTCAACCTCTGTTGCTTCGGGCAGTGTAGAAGTACAAATTTTCTTATTCCCCAAATGATGTAGCAGTACAAGTTTTTCGTATTTACTAGCATAGCAGTGAAATTTATTACAGAAGTAAGTTAGATAGTCTTTACA